AGCAAAATCTCATATTAAAACTAGGCTCTTTAAGGCCAACTTCCAAACATGTGACCTTCATGAAGGGGAACCTTGAGAAAGGTCACCAGATTAGGAGTCAGGAGAGCCGAGGACCTAATCTTTACTCTGTATCACCCTGGGCCACAACGTCACCTATAATAGGAAGATACCTGACCAGGTGTCTACAATTCTATTCCTTTTTATCTTTCTTATATGGTTCTGTAACTGTTTTCTGTTCTGGCCTCCCCTGAAGTTGATCAGTTAATCAAAATGCATCTATTAAGCACTTGCTACGTGCCAAGCACCATGCTAGGCACTAGGGATACAAAGAAAGGTTAAAAAAAAACAGTCCTTGCCCTCAAGAAGCTCACTCTAATGGGGGAGACAACACAAATAACTGTACATACAAGATATATAGTAGAGATGAGGGGTAATCTCATGGGGAAAAACCTACAGGAAGTGGGATTTGTGCCGAGACCTAAAGCAAGCCAGGAGAGACAGGTGAGGAGGGGAGACGTGCCAAGTCTGGGGAAGCACACAGACCTCTGAGGCTGGAGGGTCACATGCAAGGGAGAAGGGACTTGAGTGTAAACAGACTGGAAAGAGAGGAAGTGGCCGAGTTATAAAGACCTTTCAGAGCCAACCAAGAAGAGATTTCAACTCATCTCATTCCTTTTTTAGCATCCCCCACAGTCCTGGTCACAAAGTAGGCACCCAAATACACATGGGTTGAAGAAATGATTTAATGTGCCCTTCACAATGCCTAATGTCTGCTGGCCTGACAGTCAGGGCAGGCCCAGCCTACGGCCCCACCGTGCCTTACGTCACCCTCTCCCTACATCAGACCCAACCAAAGCATCCACTTCTTTGTTACAGGTGAGAGCTCCGAAGCCCATCCCATATGGTGCCCCTCAGCCACGCTGGGAAGAGGCAAGATGGGACCCACCGGCCCTCCCTGTGAAATGGACACCGTTGGGCTTCTGAGTCAGTGAAAAGCAGCAAGAGAGCGCCATGCTGGGCACCTATGGACATCGCTGATGGAAGCTTTTCTAGGTTAACTGTAAAGCTGGGTCTTACAACCATGTAGCCCCAGTGAGCCTCTAACCTCTCTAAACCTCAATCAGATGTTGCATCTGTAAAGAGAAGGATTCGTTTAGACCAAGGGTGGGGAATCTGCAGCCTCGGAGCCACATGTGGCCTGCTGGGTCCTTGGGTGCAGCCTTTTGGTTGAGTTCAAGTTTTAAAAAACAAATCCTTTTATTAAGGGGATTTGTTCTGTGAAGTTTAGATTCAGTCAAAGGGCTGCAACTGAGGGCCTAGAAGGCCACATATGACCTCAAGGCTGCAGGTTCCCCACCCTTGCTCTAGACCTTTCAGTGCTAAAATCCTTTGAATTACTTACCTAATTAGTTGGTCTTGGGCTTCAAACAAACACTTCCTTTTCTTATTTATTTCTCTAATCACCTAAATAATACAGTAATCATTACCATCACCATTTACAACACCATATTATATTTATATAGAGCTTTAAGTACTCATAATATTATTATTATGATGGCTAACATTTATATAGTGCTTACTGTGTGCCAGGCACTGGGCTAAGCAGTAATCATCTTAATAGATTCTCACAGCAACCCTGAAAGGTAGATGCTATTATTATCCCCATTTTAGATATAAGGAAATTGAGGCAAACAGGTGAAGTGATTTATCTAGGGTCACACAGCTAGTGAGTGCTCAAAGCCTGATCTGACCCCAGGTCTTCCTGTCTCCAGGCCCTACAGTCTAGCCACTTGACCATCCACCTGCCCCAAGCAGAACAGCATGTTATCTTGGAAAGACTCAGACTGGACCCAGAGCATGCAGGATGCTATGAATGTGTGTTATCAAGGACAAACCTCCCCACCACTGGCATAATGTTATTTGCACCCCAAACTGGATCCCCTGTGTGTCCTCCTGAGGCAAGACAGGGACGGTCCAGTCTGTGCCAGACTGGGAAAATGTTGCACAACTGGGGTCCTTTGCAAATAAGCGGACCCTCCTACCTTCATAATCTAGCTTCATAATCTTTTCCCTAGGGAAAAGAATGTGGCTTTTGCCATCACCTTGCTCCTCCATTTTAGAAGGGGGTTTCATCCTTTGCCCACCCGTACTACACCTTTCCCTTCCCGTGCCATGCCCCTTTAGATGGAAATGTGTGTTTTCTCCTCCATTTGTTGCATGGCCATAACTATGCAAACTTCTGTAAGGATTATGAACTCTTTGGGTTCTACAGAAGTGCACATTCATTTATCTCATAATAAACCTGCTTTTCACATACATATTGTGACACTGTGATTGCTTGTTGACAATTCACACAAGTAGTAAATATCTGAAATAGGATTTGAACTCAAGTCCTCTGACTCCAGAAGCAGGGCTCTCTCTACTTCTAACCACCCTGCCTCTGTGGTTAGAAGAGGCCTTAGAGAGAATGGAGAGATGAGCCAAGAAGACTACTGTTAGGATGTTAGCCATCCATGGCTCAGCAGGAAGAGCATGAAGGAATCAAAAGTCTTATTAGAAAGGGCTGTCACTTAGCACAGGAGGGACCGCTCTGGTCTTTAAAAGGACAACCACCTTCAAGTCCCTTCCAGGTGTAAATCTAGATGATCCCATGTGGAATCAGGACGAGAGTCCAATCCTGGCAGGCTTTTGGAATTCAAACCAATACAGAAATGTGACTTGTCTCATTTGATAATCAATGTGTAGTGCAAATATTAGTGTCCTCATTATACAGATGAAGAAACAGGCCCAGATAAAGTGACCTGTCTAAGGTCACACACCTAGTAGGGCAGCTCGGTGGTACAGTGGGTAGAGTTCCGGACCTAGCATCAGGAAGACTTCACCCTGTTTGCCTCAGTCTCAGCATCTGTAAACAGAACTAGAAAAGGAAATGGCAAACTACTCCAGTATCTTTGCCAAGAAAACCCCAAAAGAGTTCATGAAGAGTTGTACGTGACTGAAAGTGACTGAACAACAGTAACACATATCTTGTAAGCAGGAGAGCTGGAATTCAGATACAGGTCTTCTGACTCCTAGTCCAGAAACTCAAGGTTTCTTCCTCTTTAAGACTAACGTGAACACTGCAATGTTGTGAGGAATCGTTCAGGCAGCTAGGTGATGAATGAATGAGTTCTGGACCTAGAGTCAGGAAGACCAGAATTTCAATTCTGCCTCTGACACTGAATAGCTCTGTGACCCTAAGCGAGTCATTTCACTTCTGTCTGGCTCAATATATGATAGCACCGACTTCCAAGGCCTGTTGTACGGACCAAATGAGCTAATCTATATGTAAAGGACTCTGCTCAGCTTAAAGCATAATATAAATGTTTGTTACTGTTGTTATTATTACTACTCTTCATATTATTTTATAAAAGTGTACATCACAAATCACAAGTGACCTACCTTAGCATTCTTCCTTTTGAAGTTTTTCAATTTCTGGACTTCTGAAAGCTACACATGATAAAAAACATTTACATTCAACATTCAAAACTAGAAATGTTTGTACTTTTATTGTTATTTTAGCATGGAACACATGGCCATACTGGTCTCTCATAGGCCATAGGCATGTCTGAACAACAGGGACAGTCTAGCCCCTGGTCTAAAGAACAAGATAAAATGGTTACATATTTCAACAACTCATATTCAGAAATGGTGGTTTCATGTCAATAAAACTTACAATTTTAATAAGCTGTTCCTTAAAAATAGAATAAAAACTGTCGACTGCTCTCTGGCAAATTATAGATTCCACTTGCTGCCTGTAAGGACAAGAAAGAGGAATTTAGGTATTTACTCACAATCAGCTACATGTTGATATAACTCTCCAGTTTCAGTTATCCTCTTTACAGGAACAATGAATGTGTATTTTAGATTGATCAGGAATCCTTTCTGTTGGTTTTATATAAATGAATGATGAACAGAATATATATATATATTCAAAATATATTCTATATATATTCAAAACTGTGGGGTTGGTCTTCGTGACCTTTCCTGCGTCCCGTGATGATGGGAAGCCTGTTTTTTTTTTTTTCAAGTTATAATGCCATGTAACTAATCACTTGGGTCTTTCCTAGTATGTTAGCTAATAAAATAATTTTCAGAAGAGTCTGAAAAACTATTCCTTCCTGGACCATTCTATCAGATGATAAAATGCCCTCAACTCCAAAACACTAATGCCTAGAGACAGATTATCAAACTCTTTGTTTAGTGATAGAAACACTGAGTGCAAGCCTTGCAAATTGTAAGCAGTCAACAAGTTTCTATTGATTTGTTCTATTTCTTGAATTCTTTGAGGAGGTAAACACTTTAATGTCTGTCAGTACAACTAATATTAGCTCAACATCAATGGTTCAGTAGAACTTTCTCAACATAAAAGAAACTCATGGTCTTAAAGTAATAAAGGAAACCTAGGGAAATAATAGTAAAGTATCAAATCTTCTAACTTGTTCTGAATCATCAATTTCTAAAATTAACACAGGATCACATATTGAATTTAATAACACATGGTAACAGATAAAGTCAAAAGCCAGTCCTAGGACAGTTAAGAATAAAATGGCATTCATCAATTGGGGAATGGCTGAGCAAGTTGTGGTATATGAATGTGATGGAATACTATTGTGCTATAAGAAATGATGAACAGGCTGACTTCAGAAAAAACCTGCAAAGACTTGTATAGTCTGATGCTGAGTGAAGTGAGCAGAACCAGGAGAATGTTGTACACAGTAACGGCCACCTTGTGCAATGACTAATATTGATAAACTTAACCCTTCCTAGCAATACAAGGATCTACGACATCTCCAAAGGCCTCGTGATGGAAAATGCTATCCAATCCAAAGAACGAACTATGGAAGTTGAATTGCTATTTTTTTTCCTCTTCTATTGAGTTTTGTTTCCTCCTATTGGTTCTAATTTTTACTTACAACATCACTAATATGAAAATAAGTTTAATAGGAATGTAAATGTATAGCCTATATCAGATTGTGTGCCGTCTTAGCGAGGGTGATGGGGAGGAAGGGGAAGAAAAATTTTAAAAGCAAATGGAAGTGATTGTTGATAAATCAAAATAAATTAATAAAAAATTTTTAAAAATAAAGTAAAAAAAGAATAAAATGGCATTATTGTCATGATTACCTTTGAAAAAAATTCTGTCCCAATATTCCAAACTGAGTTAGAGACAAAGTAAATAGAGTACAATTCCTGCTTCCATGATGCTTTTAAGCTGTGCTTCTAAGTATATGGTAGTGGAAGATGTAGGAGTAGATGACATCACCAAGTTTGTAAAAAGACTCCAGCGGCTAAAACCCAAATATTACAAAAAGCATGAAAATGGACTGGCTTTATATGCTAAGAATCTGATTCCTAGCTGGGGGACTGGGCTCTTACTTCTCTACTTTTACTGACTCCTCACTATATTTCACTCTCTTCAGTAGCTTTTTCAAACCTTCTGCTACTGCCTAACAGCCATCAAAGGAGAAAGAGGAGTTTTCAATCTGGATATTCTTTCCTTCAGAGAAGTCACTTCACACAAGTTCTCCTCCTCTTAATCCACTCCTCCAATGGCTCCTAGTTATCTTCCCAGTTTCATGAAGTGGGTATTTACCCCAGCCTTCCTCTCCCTATATAACCTCCTTTGATGATCCCAGCGATTCCAATAGCTTTCACTATCACTGTTGATAGTGACTACCATCTTTCTGATGACTCCCATGCTCAGGATTCTCTCCAGACCACCTGGAGCAGATGACTCAGTCCACACTGAGAAAAGTGAGCACTTAATCCGATGGGAGGTCCTCCTCAAAAAACTCAGCATCACCACACATTTTCTGTTCCTCCCTCATCTCAGGTGAAAAATACTCACTATTCCTCAATAAAGGTTAATCCCTCTACTTGTAACCCTTAAGCCTATCCCCTGAGGACTCCAAACTCTCTTCCTCTTTTATGCATCTGCAACCTCTCCCCCTTCACTGATTCTTTCTCATCTACCTTTGTTTTGTTTTTTACATTTCCAGGTTTTTTTAATTAACCTATTTCTCCTCTAATTTTAATTTGTGTCTCCTCTTTTATTTTGTTGGCTTTCTAATTTTTTCTCTGTTACTTTTTTAAAATTTATTTTTAGGCAATTGGGGTTAAATGACTTCCACAGTCAGTAAGTGTCAAATGTGGTCTGAGGCCGGATTTGAACTCTGGTCTTCCTGACTCCAAGGCCAGCGCTCTATCCACTCCACCACCTAGCTGCCCCAAGGTTTTCTAATTTTTAAAAACACATTCAGTTCAATCATCTCTTTTCTATTTTCTTAATAGAAAGTATTTATGTATGTATGTATGTATGTATGTATGTATGTATGTATGTACGTACGTGT